AAAAACCGTGATCATCGAAGGGCGAGCCTCCTCGTTCCTCATACACGATCCTGGGCAGCCAAGAGGGGGGCGTAAAAGAGGTGGGGGCGCAAACCATGGCTGCCAGCACGTGCGCGGCCCAGAGGGGGGGCCGAGGACGAATTGAAATAAGGGGAAGCGCATGGAAACCTGGGCAGATCTCATGGCCCCCGCCATGATATCCACCTCCCCTAATCATCCACCCCCCCCCGTTGCCGCCCCCGACACGAGAACAGCGCGCATGCACCGTACCATGCCTGGACTCCCTTCAGGCCCCGCCCCAGCGCAGTACTGTGCACAATTCTCTTGCCCTGGGGGCCGTCCAAGTATGCCATGCACCGTGCCACTCCTGGGTCGAGGCTCGACGATGCCCCGAGAAGCGCCAACGCGACACGGTGCACACCCTTTCCTCGGCAGCGCCAGCGGACGCAGGCGCGGGGGTCGGCACCGCCGAGGCGCGCCGGGCACGGGGCGCGGGAGCAGGCGGGCAGGAAGGGGTCTCGGCCGCGGGGGAGGACATGGGAAGGACCCGACACCCGAGACTCGGCGGCTGAGCGGCAGCACGGTGCACTTTTTGGTCGGCGGGTCGGGAGCGGGCCCATTCCGGTTAAGAGCTAGGCGGGGCGCGCGAAGCCCTAATTGGGGAGACAGGGCGCGGGCGGGCGGAGAGACAGCACGGCGCACACGCACGTCGTCCGCGGAGCACCCCTCCTCGCTCCTCAGACCCGACGTCTGCGGCAGGCGGCGAGAGCCCCGGCGCACGGCGCGGCGGCCGCCGCCGCGGCGCGGCTGCGATTGCACCGCCCGCACGCGCCGCAGTGGCTCAGCAGCGCGCAGGGCCGCCCAGCGGCCTCCACGGCACACCTGCGCCGGCGATGACGACGACGACGACGACGACGACGACGACGACGACGACGACGACGACGACGACGACGGCGGCGGCGGCGGCGGCGGCGGCGGCGGCGGCGGCGGCGGCGGCGACGGCAGCGACGGCGGCGACGGCGGCGACGACGACGGCGACGACGACGACGACAACGACAGGGCGGAAGCGGCGCCCGCGGCGGCGACGACCAGGGCGGCGACGACGATCGAGGAGCAGCGAGGAGGGGGCAGAAGGAGGAGGGGAAGGGGAACCCGTGCGCGCCCAGATTGGTGGTAGAATGTCCGCTTGGGGCGGGAGACGTGTCTGCTGTCTAAGAGCCCCATGACCACTGCAATGTAGCAAGTATGGCATTTGGGGGCATCTACGCGGTGGTCATCCAGGCGCTTTGTATCTGGAAGCTCCAGGACACCCCCGAGGCCCCAGGGGCCCCAGAAGGCCCCCCGAGCTCTAGGACATGTCAGGGCGGCCCTGAGCATCCCAAGAGGCCTGAGCAAGCCCCAGGAAGCCCGAGTAACTCCCAAGATCCTATCACTCATACCCAGTCCTCCTCACACTCCATTCTCATTCACATACAAGCCCACTCGTACTCAGACTCGCTCGTAGTCACGCACACTCAGACTCATTCGCACTCAGACCCACTCACACCCAGGCGCTCAGACGCAAACGCACTTTCAAACATACTCATTACTGTCCTCGCACGCCAATACCCAGACCCAGGCATGCTGAGACATGCTGCATCAGCCAGTCATCCACAGATCGGCTCACACTCAAAATCACTCACACTCAGACTCATTTCGTTCTCAGGCACACTCAGATTCAGAATCGTTTAGCCACAGAGTCAGTGAGTCAGTCGCATCCCAGCCAGGCCAGCCACTTATACTCGAACGCAGTCCCGCCCAAACTCTCTCATACTCAGACGTTCGCGTTCTCTTCCGCTCGCACTCAGACACCTTCTACGCAGCGCTAGAACATATGGGGATCCCCGCGTCGAATATTTGACAGTCCTGGGGCCCGTTGACGGCCTCTGGAGGCGGAAACTTCGAAAACTCTGTGCAATTCGCGTGGTCCGACACATTCGATATCTGGAACTAAATCTGCAGAAAAGATCATTCGCACTCCCCTCCCGGAGTCCATCTGGGCAAGCTTTTCATCCCCCATCGGGTTCCGACAAACCCTGGGGCCCAAAGCGACGCCCGGGAGACCGATACTGCCGGGGGAAAAAAAAACAACTATATTTGTTTTTGAGCATCAGTAGATGGGAGCGGACAGCGACAACATGTACAACACGACTCGCCTTGCCGAGCGTGCTGATAACTGTGATGCTCGTCGCAAGGCTGTCCTGCGAGCGTGGCCATAACTCCAGCCAGGGATTCGGGCATAGAGGGACCAGGGCCTCGCCACGAATACGCTGCTGCTGGCTGTAGGCGCCGGCGGGAGCGGACACATCCTGCCCCCCCCCCAGAAAGAACGACGCAGAGAAACAGAGCTGCTTGTGACAAGTTCTCCCCATCGCTCGGACGTTCATTCTCCGTGCCTGTTTTGATGCCGTGCGCTCGTTTTTTTGTTCGCAGGATGGTCACGATGCTCCTCGATGGCCCTCGCCGAGGCAGACAAATCCACACGTCCGAGCCAGGCCAAGACATTCTCTGGGGCGGAGAAAAGTAGTCAAGCCTCTAAACCTCGGCGACACGCCCGGGGGGGGGGGGGAAGGGGCGGAGGGGGCGTGCCTCCCTGGGGAAGGCTTCCTCCCGAGCCTTCCACGGAGCGCCGCCGCTCTCTGACGACGCCTGCCCGCGCACGGGGCTCGGAGCCAAGCAGCTCTCTCTCTTCGTCCTGCCGTCCTGCTCTCGTCTTCCGCCGTCCTGCCCCCGCCCGGCCCGTGCTGCGAAACGAGGGCGAAGCGAGGCCGCCCCGAGGCACCGCCAAGACACCGCCTGGCTCGCGCCCTGCCCACTCGATGGGCAGCGTCGCCTGGCTTGCGGCTCCATCCGCGGGCCTCCCGCGGCCGCTCGGGACGATCCGGGCGCCCCCCGGGAGCGCCCCTCGGCGAGGCGCGGCCGCCGGAGCGCCTCGCCGAGGAGGGGACGCCGCCGAGGGCCGGCGGCAACGCCCGAAAGCCTCGAGCCGCGGACCCGAAGCAACCCAAACTTCCCTCCCTCGGCGCGCCGCCGAAACCTCGCCCCCGCGCGGAGGAGCATCGGGGGCGTCGTGGAGAAGGTCGGCGGCGAGCGAGGGAGGGAAATGAGGAGGAGGAGGAGAAGGAGGAGGAGGAGGAGGCCTTCTCAGAAGGCGGCGGGACTTCTCAGAAGCTCTCGCGCCTTCTGAGGAGTTTCCCGCGTCTTCGGGGAAGGCTTAGCAAACTTCTCAGAAGGGCGGTAATACTTCCGATCCTTCCGAGAAGGCCTTCTCCTTCTCACTTCCCCCCCCCCAGGCTCGCGGCCGAGTCCTAGAGAAGGGTGTCCGAGAGGGGGCTCGCGAAGCATGGCCCGAGGCAGGTGCACGGACCAGGGGGGACCACGGGACGCACTGAAAGAAGAGGGGCCCTGAGAGCTGGGAGCTGTCATGGGCCCAGCCACGAGACTCGCCCCCCTGGTCATAAGAAGGGGGAAGCCAACAGGCACCGATGCCGTTACTCCCTGGACCTCTCCCTGAGGGTGCGTTCGGACCAGTACTTCGAGGAGAATCCAGCGGTGGCGACGGTGGCCTCCCAGGAGGCCCAACATGAAGGGGCCCTGGGACACACAAATAAATACACACAAATAAAAATATGTCCCATATTTTGCCATATTTTCTGGGTGTCTGTATTCCCCCCCACTTCCCATATTTTCCCATATTTTCTGGGGGATCGACGATTCATTGTGTCTGTGTGTTTTTTCCCTCCTGACAAAACAGGGAAAGCGAGGGAAAGCTAGCAGGAAAGATACCTCCTCCTCCTCTGGAGCGCACCCCTCTTGGCCGCCCCCGCGCGCAGGGCGCAGCGGGGCCTGCCCGGGCCCGAGCGGCCGCACAGGCAGCAGGCGCCGCCGGGCAGCCTCCGGGCCTGCCGGGCGGCCGGCGGCGGCGCGCGACCAGGTCTCCAAGAGGGGGTCCAAGGTTCGAAGTCACCCCACGAGGCATCGTGGCGAAGAAACCAGCTCCGTCTCGTCGGCAGAAGAGCTCGCTGACCCACTTTTCGGTGGCGAGTTGGCCAGAGCAAAGCCGTGCCCCTGGTGATCCAACTCTTTGCCACTCCGCATCCACATTGCTTGGGCGCCCGAGTTATCCGGGGTAACTCGGGTCCGGGGTAACTCGGGTTTGGATTCCCGAAAAAGGAACCCGAGTTATCCCTGACCCGAGTTACCCCTGATGATTCGGGGCTCTTGGACGCCCGATTTATCCGGGGTAACTCGGGTCCGGGGTAACTCGGGTTTGGATTCCCGAAAAACGAACCCGTGTTATCCCTGACCCGAGTTACCCCTGATGATTCGGGGCTCTGAATTGCCGTCCTGCAAATCCTCCAACCACTGCTGGCACAAACCAGCAAGCGAGAACTCAGTCATGATTCGGTTTGGAGTCGGGGGATCGCGCCGCATCGCCACTGCATCTCCCGATGCGTCGGCGGTGCATCGGCGGTGCATCGGCGATGCGTCGGCGATGCCTCGGCGCCTTCGGCGCCGGGGGAACTCCGGCTCCACACGGAGCCGCATCGCCGATGCATCGGCGATGCGGCGCGATACTCCGACACCATCTGCCAGTCTGCTGGGACCCCAGCTGGGAGGCCCAGAGCGACGCGGGCCCAAATGCCCGGCGATGTGACTTGTTCAACCTGGGCGGTGTTGCTCGGGGTCGGCCTCCGGGGCCCTTCATCGGGACGACGCCCTGCGCACCCCCTTGAGGTGTGGAGAGAAAGCCACGCCGCGACCCGGAGACAGATAGAAGCCGCGGTGAGGGACCACCGCCGGCGCACCCCCATGTGGCGCGGAGAAAATGCAACGCTGTGTGTGTATGCGTGCTGTATGTGTGCTGTGCGTATATGAGTGCGGTCCGCGTCTGCGTGTCTTGCGTGTGTGTATGATGCGTGTACGGTTGCATACGAGTGTATCTTGCGGGCGTCGTGCTGCGTCATACAGCATGTTCGTTCGTGTATGGTGCGCGCGCGAGTAAAGGTGAGAAAGAGAAGGAGAGAGGGGGAGCTGTGTGGGAGCGCAGATCCCATGTGGGTGGGAGGGCTCACCAGGTAGGTGAAGTGTGGGCTTCGCGCGGGTGGGACGCGGCTGAGAAGAGAAGCAGAACCCCACGAAACGTGCGGGGAACTAGAGTCGAACAAATCCGCTAGGTGGGCCCCAGGACAATCACCAAGACGAGCATCTAGCCTTAGGCCCGGCACGTCCTCCTACAGGCGGATTGTTTAAAGTGCAACTTGAAACAAACACAGAAATCGTCAAAGATAATAGAAAAATCGTCCCCTGACTATTTTTGACCATTCTTGAATATTGCCCCTGCAGAGGGACAGGCCCGACTTACATTCAGCCCCTCGCTCACGGGAAGGGGGCCTGAGGGCTGGACCCCGGGGGCCTCTCCCCGAGACCAGTCCTTCGCCCCGATATCGCCTCAGCAGGCGGCCCTGGGCCCACGGGCCCAGAGCTCGGATTCGCGGGCCGGAAGCGCCGTCCCCTCTCCTGGGGGCAGCTCCGCGACCCAAGAGCAGCTTCTGAACAGCCCGCCCGCCAGGGTCGCCGAATCTGGAGGAACGGCGCACTGTCAACCCGTATAGTAAGGATGCGCGATAAGGATACAAGCGCCTCGAACGCCCATTTCGAAGTTTTTCGAGCGGGGCCTGGCCAACGCAAGTGGCCGAGGACATACCGAGGAGGCAAGGATGCAAGGGTACTCTTGGGCAGGTTGCCCATCCGTACTATGTGGACTGACGGTAAACATAAGCCGTTAGAGGTCCGCGCGAAATTATTGAATCTGCGTTTGGTCCCCCTTCACGACCGCGGCGGCGCTGGAAGCACCGCCTCAGGAGGGCGGGCCCAGCGCCGCTCCGAGAAATCTGCGCGGAGCTCCGAAGAGTTGATGTCTGTGCCTCGCTTCCCTCCTCGGAACGCAGCCCCCGAGTGCCCCCGAATGCCCCACGCCCACAAACAGCATCCCGGCAACGGATCCACACCAGCGGGTGGCCGCGGGTGGAGCTCCACACACGTGGGATCGCTCGCGCGGGGTGGGCACCGAGATCGGCACGGGCGCGCCATGCGGGCTCGCTCTTCCACGGGGGCTCTGAGTGGTCACGTGTTCGGGCGCTGCTAGAGGTGCCCCTGGCCCAAGGTGCCCCCAGGATTTCCAAGGAGGCCCCCACGGCCTCCAGAGCACCCCTCGCGAGGCCGCAGGGGGGCCCAGGGGCTCCAAAATGGAGAGGAAAGCTGGGGCCGCCTCGGCACCTCGGGCCAGGGGCACATCTAGCAACCCCCGACATGAGGGGCACGATCCGCGTGAGGGGTGCCCTGAGATGGGCGGGGGGGGGGGGCCGCCATCCGAGCGCCTCCACGGCATGGGGCCACCGACGGAGCTCCTCCCTGTGAGGCACGATCCGCGCTAGGGGTGTGCCGAGAGGGGCGGCGGGACGCCCTGCAGAGCCATATGCGCGGGGCTCTCACTCCGCGACGGGGGTGTGCCCAGATGCGCGGAGAGACGTCACGTGGGCCCCCTCGACTGGGACCACCCTCAGGCGGACCGCGCCTCGTGGCTGGCGTCACGAAGCACGATCCGCCTGAGGGTGGTGTGCCGGAATGAGCGGGGGGGCGCCACGTGAGCCCCTCCACTGGAGCCACTGGTGATGCTCCCCGTGGTGCGAGGAGACTCGTGAGCGGTGTCCCAAAAGATTGGCACGCGGCTGGAGAGCAGGGGCAGGGAGAGGAGGAGGAGCAAGGAGGAGGAGGACCAACGATGCCGAAATACACCCTCCCGTCCCAAGCCCCCTCTCTGGAAATCACTACAAGTAAGCCATTCCAACTGCGGAAGCGACCCCTGGAATTAGGTCGGGGCATGTCCCCCTACAGGCGGATACTGGACGAAAAATTAACAATATCACGAAAAAATCAAGCATTGTCAAACATCGCCGAAACATCGTCCCCAGACGATTTGCTTACTGTTTTTTAAATTTTCCTCCTGTAGAGGGACATGCCCGATATAACCCCTGAATCACGAGGACAAGCACAGGCCTGCCACTCAGGCGAGCCCTGGTTCTGTAGAGGATCCACCCTCCATCCTTCTGGCTACAAGAGGCGCAGATTTCGAGCAGGGGATCGACTACAGTGGCAGGATGAATGAGTCCAAACAGGAAGCCCAGTGATAGCCCACTTCAAGTCGGATCTGCCCCCCATCGGAGTAGGTGTTGCACAACTTCGATCGAAAGTATGGCCATGGAAGTTCCATAAGCCGCAAGCCAAGATCCACGTCTGAAAAAGAGCCGCCTCCCAGGGATGTAGCTGTTGCACGGTTTGGCACTGCGGGTCACGGAATCTGACTACCTACCAGACCACCCCAACCCAACCCGAAGACCCCAATTTCGGGTTGGGGGGGGTAAGGGTTCCATACGTGTTTTTTCAGTGTTCCCCGACCCCCCCCCACTGGAAATCGAGGGTAAATCTGAGCCTTCGGGTTGGGTTGGGGTGGTTTGGTAGGTGGTGAATCCTTGTGACTCCTGGAAAAAATGTTGAGACGAGCGTGCGCGGTGCAGGGGCGAGAGCCGCACCTTGAAGACGGCCAGCCACCCTAGAGGCCTCCTAGATGGGGTCGGAGTAGATGGGGTCGGAGGATCGCGCCGCATCGGCGATGCATCGGCGATGCATCAGCGATGCATCGGCGATGCATCGGCGATGCACCGACGATGCATCGCCGACGTCGGCGACGCATCGGCGACGTCGGCGTGGAGAAAATCGGGCTCCGCATCGAGCGGCATCGGCGATGTATCGCCGATGCGGCGCGACCCTCCGACCCCATCTACTCCGACCCCATCTGGGAGGCCTAGACACCCCTCCGTGTGCCTGTTGAAGTGATCTCAGCTTTCAGGAAGACACTGTGTGTAGGGAGGTCTCCAGCGAAACGCCCGGCCCAGCCTGCGGACACACCTGGTGGTGCGGCGCGAGAGGTAACATGATTACCAGGAAGCGCGAGATGGAGACAGGAAGACGCGGGCGCGAGGCGACGCGGAGCGCTGCGGATACAAAGGAGGACCCAACGACAGCAGGGCTGAGAGAGTAAACAAAAACTGCGGGATCGACAAACTCGATCTGCCCGAGGTCTGGGTTCGGGGAAGGGCCATGAGCAACTAGAAAAACGGCGGGAAGACCCCAGGACCCGTGTCCCTCAGGTATGCTACATCTTCGGGGGACCTTGTCTGTTCCATGGCATCTCCATTCGCGTCGAATCAGGATCGGATCAGCATCGAATCCGTCGAATCCGCGCCGAATCCGCGCCAAACCGGCGTCGGATACAAGAGAAGGTTTCCATTAATTGGACAGGCAAGGTCCCCCGGAGATGCCATGTGACCTCATGGACCCTCTCTAAGAGGAAACGTCAATGGGGGCTCGGCTCAAGGGGGGAAACCTCAGCTGGGCTCGGCGATGCATCGTCGATAGATCGGCTCGGCGGCGAGCCCAGGGGGGAAGTGAGAAGGGGGTGGCCTTCTCAGAAGGCTCGGAAGTCCCCTGGCCTTCTGAGAAGTGTCCTAAGCCTTCCCCGAAGGCACAGAAAACCTACTTATCAGAAGGCGCGACGCGAAAGGCCTTCTGAAAAGCCCCAGCGCCTCCTGAAGAGGCCTTCTCCTTCTCACTTCCCCCCGCGCTCGCCGCCGAAGATCGGCGACCGCCGCCGTCGCGCCGCCGCCGCCGCCGTCGACCTTGCCACCGCAGTCGTCGACGGCGACCAGGCGCACCCGGGAAGTGAGAAGGAGAGGGCCTTCTCAGCAGGCGGCGTGGCCTCTCAGAAGCCCTCGCACCTTCTGAGAGGTTTGTTGTCTTCGGGCAAGGCTTAGGAAACTTATCAGAAGGCCGGGAGGGCTTCCGAGCCTTTTGAGAAGGTCCGCCCCTTCTCACTCCCCCCTGGGCTCGCCGCTGATCTTAAGCCGAATGGGGCTGGAGGAACCCTGGGGCTCAACAGTGAGACAAGATTAGCCCCGGATTGCACGGGAGCGTGCCAAATGAGGCCTGGCCTCGACCACGGATGCGCCAGCGACGGTGCTGATTATGAACCCCCCAGGAATTGCATCCGAAACGACGCGTTGGGCAGCGCCTGGGATCGCCGGGGAGCGCCTGGGAGGGAGCGCCTGGGAGGCAGCGCCTGGGAGCGCCTGGGAACGCCTGGGCGCGCATGGCAGCACCTGGGAGCGTCTGGGAGCACCTGGGAACGCCTGGGAGCGATCGGGAACGCCGGGGAGCGCCGGGGAGCGCAGGGGAGCGCTTGGGAGCGCTTGGGAGCGCTTGGGAGCGCCTGGGAGCGCTTGTGAGCGCCGACGCAGACGGGCGAACTCGACGACCAAACAGTCAAGACGAAGGCACAGTCAACCCGTGTAAGAAGGACGCCCGAGAATGATGCGAGGCCCTTGAAAGGGCATTTCTAGGCTTTTCGAGGGGGGCGCGGCCAGCGAAAGTGGCCAAGGATGGGCCGAAGGGGCAAGGATGCAAGGGTGCCCTTGGGAAGGTTGCCCATCCTGATTATGCGGGTTGACTGTAGTATGAGGATACAGATTCGGACGAGGACGGAGCGGAAATCTCTGAGGACCAGCGGGCCTGGAGGATGCAGCGGGCGCGGCGACCGTCCCAGGACGCTCCAGGACGATCTGAGAGCGTCCCGCAAAGCTCTGGAGCTGGGCCTGTCCGAACGACGACACATCAACGACGACCATGACTTACGACGACGACGACGACGACGACGACGATGACGACGACGACGAAGACGTCGCCGTCGCCGTCGCCGTCGCCGTCGCCGTCGCCGTCGTCGGCGTCGCCGCGGCGACGCCCAGGGGATGAAGGCCTCACTGCGCCGCAGGGACAGGCAGACGTGTCGCAGACTTGCGGGGGAGCTGAGGCCCCGGATCAGGCTGTCGGAGAGCGCGGCGGGCTCCTGCGGGGAGAAGGCCCCGTTCGGTTTGTTCTCGACATGCTGTCGGATGCTCCCGACGTGTCAGGGGTCTTCCTCCTCCTCCTCCTCATCATCATCATCATCACCATCATCATCATCATCATCATCATAATCATCATCATCATCATCAGCATCAGCATCATCATCATCATCATCATTATCATCATCGTCATCATCGTCATCACCACCACCACCACAACCATCACCATCACCATCATCATCATCATCATCATCATCATCATCATCATCATCATCCCCTCATCATCATTATCGTCATCACCATCACCATCCCCCTGAACATCATCCTCATTATCATCCTCCTCCACCGCCTCTTCCTCATCCTTATCCTCACTCATCATCGTCCACCTCAGCCGCCTCCTCTCATCCTCATCATCATCCTCATCCTCCTCCTGATCCTCATCGTCATCATCCTCCTGATCCTCATCCTCATCCTCATCCGCCTCCTGATCCTCCTGCAGAAATTGTCCGCGCGAAAGCGCGATTGTGGAATACCTTGTGAGGAAGTATCAGGCGGGAGCCGTTGTTGTTATTGTTAGTGCGGATATGATTGTTGTTAATATTAATGTTTCTGTAAGTGTTGTTGTTGGTGGTGGTGTTATTGTTGTTGCTGGTGTTATTATTTCTTCTGGTTGTAAACAGGGGGCCAGGGGCGCAGTTTGGTGACCCCTCGCATTCCTTTGTAAAAAGGAAGTGCGAGCCCAAGGAGGAACACTTTTATTGAAAAATGCAATGGTTACTGGAGGGGAGGGATCAACAATAACTATCTGCTAGAAATCAGGATTCCATCATGTTAACACGGTTCGCTCTTACGCGCCCGCGTGCCATCCAACACGTACATCCCAGAACCTTCGATACCCGCCCTCTTCGTTTTCAATCGTACCTACTTGGGGGTATATATCTTCCTTGCCCACAAGGTGTATTTCGCAGAGCCCCCAAGGCAGGAGAAGCGAGGGCGGATGGAAGGAAGCGGCAAGGGGGAGGGAGGAAGATGGAGCATGAAAGAGAATAGCAGCATGGGAGCCAGGAGCAGAAAACACGTGGCAGAACCAGACGGGCAGATCGGGCGGGTAGACCCTAACGAGCGGGTCGGGAAGGCGGGCCCAAGCGGCCAGGTCAAGCAGGCAGGTTGCTGAAGCGTGCGTCCTGCATGAATCGCGACGAAATCTCTAGCGATAGCGCGATTCCTACGTAAATCGTGAAGGAATGCACAACGAGAGCATGATTCCTGAGTGTCGAGGGCGCGGCGTCTGAACAATTGCGAGGAAATCCCGCGCGAGAGCACGCTTTCTGCATAAATTGTCGGGATATCCCGCGCGAGAGCGCGACTTGGAAGTACATTGAAAGAAAGTGTCCGGCGGGGGCCTCTGGTGTCGTGAACCGGGGGCCAACAACCCGATATGGTAATATTTCACCTTCCCTCAAAAAAACATGGGTGCGAGCCCCGGGAGGAGCACTTTGATTGAAAAATAGAGTGGTCATTGGAGGGGGGATCGACGTACGCAAGGGGCCAACGGCACCATTTGAGGAGGAGGCCATTCCCTGCAAAAAAACAGGATGCGAGCCAAGGGAGGAGCACTTCTATTGGAAATCACCATGGGAAGCGGGGGGATCATCAATAGTCCTCCTTCCGAAACAGTATCACCACCACCAACAACAACAACAACAACAACAACAATCATTTTACCCGAACGCTCAGTGTTCTCACCAGTGCCAGGGTTTTCATGCGACGCGAGACAATACCCCCACTTCGTGGGGGGGCAGTTCAAGCTCTACCAAATATCCAAACGACTCTTCGCGACCACCCAAACCCAGCTTCCCGCCCTATGACGTTGGGACACTTCACTTCGTGGCGTGCGGACGACCGTGGCTACTACACTGGCGTGGGGTACACACCCACAGAACTTGGTCACTTATTCGGGGCGCGCGTGTGCCCAGCATCCTGCAATTGTGACATACAATACATGACACAGACAGACAGAGAGAGAGACAGAGAGCAGACAGAGAGAGAGACAGAGAGAGCGGAGTTGGTCACATTTTTGGGGCAAGTTCCTGAGATCGTCGTGTTTTTTGTTGGTCTTGCGCGCGCGAATGTCCACTTTACTTTTTTTTTGCAAGGGAGTATTGAAATTTGATTATGTTAGAACAAGAAAAAGTAGCTCGCGCGAGCTCATGTAACATAAATGTTGAAAAACCATTGGTTTTGTGGGAGTCGGACAGCGCGCGCGGGATGAAATTTGGACATTTTTTTTTGAAAAACCAGTGGGTTTTTGATGTTTTTATGTTGAAATCGTTACGAAACCTAAGGTTCTGGAAGGATTTCGTCTTGCGCGCGCGAATGTCCACTTTACCTTATTTTTTGCAAGGGATTATTGAAATTTGATTATGTTAGAACAAGAAAAAGTAGCTCGCGCGAGCTCATGTAACATAAATGTTGAAAAACCATTGGTTTCGTGGGATTCGGACAGCGCGCGCGGAAGGACATTTTGACAATTTTTTCTTAAAAAACCATTGGGTTTTTGATGTTTTTATGTTAAAATCGCTACGAAACCTAAGGTTTTGGAAGGATTTCGTCTTGCGCGCACGAATGTCCACTTTACCTTATTTTTTGCAAGGGATTCTTGCAATTTGATCAAGTAAGAACAAGAATTTTCATTTTCTATTGTTTTTTGCAAGGGAAAACGGGGGTCAACAAAACAACCGGATCCGGACTCATCCACTTTTCTGAAGCTTTCGCGAAAAAATGATGAAAATGTAGCTGCGGCCTAGGCGCGGCGCAGAGGTCGCGCACCAGGGGTCCCAACAATAATAATTCTTTAGAAGGAATAATATTCAACAACAAACACAACTACCACAACAACAACAACAACAACAACAACAACACCAGCAACAACAACAACAACCACAACAACAACAACATCAACAACAACAACAACAGCAACAACAGCAGCAACAACAACAACACAAGCAACACCAACATCAGCAACTACAACAACAGCAACAGCAGCAACAACAACAACAAACATTGTAAAACTGCTCGCTCATATCTGCTCGCAGGACACTCATCACGTAAAGCCTCGATACCACCCTGATCGTTTTCGACCGTACCCACTTGGGGGTATGTACCTGTCTTACAGGCCAGGTGTATTTCGTGCAGACCCTAAGGCAGGAGAAGAGAGGACGGATGGAAGGAAGGGACAAGGGGGAGGGAGGAGAATGCAGCACGAGAGATAGTAGCAGCAGGGGAGCTAGGAGCAGAAAACACGTGGCTGAAGCGTGCGTCCTGCAGGAAACGAAAGAAAGTCTGGAGCGACAGCGCCATTCCCAAATAAATCGTGAGAAAATGATCCCTGCGTGTCGAGGGCGCGGCGGCTGAATAACTTGCGAGGACGTCCCACGCGAGAGCACGAATCCTGTAGAAATTGTGAGGATGTCCCGCGCGAGAGCGCGATTTTGAAATAAATGGTGAAGCATCATCCGCCGGGAGCCGCTGTTGTTGCAAACCGGGGGCGAACAACAATTCTGAGAGCCAAGATTTTCCCTGATAAAAAACCGGATGCAAGCCCCAGAAAGGGCACTTCAATTGAAAAACACATATGTGTCCCGGATGGGGGGATCAAATCTACATACTCTTCAGCAGTGAGACATCAACATCGACAACAACAGCACAAAAAATCACGACAGCAACAACAAAAACAACAATCTCAATAACAACAACAAAAAACAATAACAACAGCAACGACATAAACAAAACAACGACAACAACAACAGCAACAACAACAGCAACAACAACAAAACTACAACAATATCAACAACAACCCAAACAATCATGTTAAGACTATTCGCTCTTATCTGCTCGAGTGTCCGTCGACGTGTGTTTCCCAAACCCTCGGTACCGGCCCTCTTCGTCTTCGATCGTACCCATTTCGGGGGGGTATAGATTTCTTCCTTGCAGGCCGGGCCCCGGCAAGCGACGGGGCGGCCGCGGACCAACGGCCTGGCCAGTGGCGACGCTGATCCGCGGCAACCCGACCCCAAGAGGGACGGACAGGGGGCCGACCACGAGGACGACGACGACGACGACGACGGCGACGACAACGACGACGGCGACGACGATGACGACGAGCGAAAGCGAGAGCGAGAGCGAGAGCGAGAACGAGAGCGACAGCGGGGCCACGAAGGGCAGGAGGGGGGCCACGAAGGGCAGGAGGGGGGCCACGAAGGGCGACAGCGGGGCCACGAAGGGCATGCGTATGGGGCCCCAGGGGCGCGAACGAACGGGGGCCACGACGGGCAGATAGTGCGGGGCCACATGGGGCAACGACGGGGCCACTGAGGGTAGCAACGGGGCCACGTAGGACAGCGAGGGGGCCACGAAGGGCGACTGCGGGGCCACGAAGGGCATGCATATGGGGCCAAGGCGGGCGCGAACGAGCGGGGGCCACGAAGGGCATGCGTATATTGGGCCGCCAGAGGGCAAGGACGGGGCCACTGAGGACAACAACGGGGCCACGTAGGACAGCCAGGGGGCCACGAAGGGCGACTGCGGGGCCAAGAAGGGCATGCATATGGGGCCACGACGGGCGCGAACAATCGGGGGCCACGGAGGGCATACATATATGGGGCCACGATGGACAGCGACAGACTGCGAAGGGCTGCAACGAGGCCACGAAGGGCAACGAAGGGGCTACGAAGGGCTGCGACAGGACCAAGAAGGGCACCGAGGGGGCCACGAAGGGCAGCGAAGGGGCCACGAAGGGCTGCAACAGGGCCACGAAGGGCTGCAACGAGGCCACGAAGGGCAGCGAGGAAGCCACGAAGGGCTGCAACGGGACCACGAAGGGCTGCGAGGGGGCCGCGAAGGGCTGCACCGGGGCCCAGAAGGGCAGCGAGGGGGGCCACGAAAGGCTGCAACGGGGCCACGAAGGGCAGCCAGGGGGCCACGAAGGGCTGCAACAGGGCCA